ATTAAGTCTTTTTCTTTATACCACAAGGCAGGCAAGTGGGCTGGTTAGGACCAGGTCCGGCCCAGGACCGCAAGAGCAAATGGGTAGTGGGCCTAAACGGTCCTAACCGTATAGAACCGGAACCGTGGGGAGGTGGGCTGGATAGTGGGCCGGTCCCTTAGGCAAGGCCCGCAAAATCGGGACTGGGACCGGCTGGGCAGTGAGCCGGTTCAAGCGGTCCTAAACGGGCCCAACAACTAAAAATTTAAAAAAAAAAAAAAACTGCCCGTTAGGGCATTTAAAATATAGCCGTTATTCTGCCAAAATAGTCATTTAACCCTCCCCCCCCCCCCAACTTTGTTTTAACCCCAAAACTTTTTATAATTACACTTTTCCCTATTTTCAACTATAAATACCCCCTCATTCTTTCATTTTTCTCACAAAATCATCAATCTCTCTCTAATTTTTTTCTATAATTGCTTACTTTATTGTTGCAATTTGTGAAAAATTGTGAAGTTGGTGAATTGAAGTATTCAAGTCTTCAATGATAATTAATTTTGAACAAGTTGTTCGTCAATTCGGTAAACTCGTTCCAACTATTAAGTTTTAATATTATAGTTTTGTTTGTTTTATTTACTTTGTATAATTATAATTAAGATGGCATATTCCTTAAAAAAATATTTAGTCAAAATAAGGGAAAATCCAAGAATGGTGAATCTAGTGGCCAAGCTGTTCCTCCTCCACTTCCCCCGGCTCCCCGACCCAAACCCCATACTATTCTTACACCTGTTATTCTTGATAGTGATAATACTTTATTACAATTTATTGAGAGTCAATTTTTGCATAATGTTGGAGCTGGTGAACAATTAAACCATGAATATATGAATGCTCTTTATGGTAATCCAACTATTGATGAAAATGATGATGAAGAAATAGATTTAGACGAAACGCAACCGGATGACGATACACCCACTAGTCCTGTTCCTGAAGTTAACCCAACTAATAATAATCCAAATGATGCCCCGTCTGACCCTCCTGTTACTATCCTACTTTTTTCTAGACAACCTTCTGAACGGAGCGAAACATCTATTGTTTGGCATTTTCTATTCAACTAAGAGAAAAAAAAATAAGGCTAAGTGTAAAACTTGTGGCAAAGAGTTAGCTTTTAAATATGTTGGAGGTCGGGAGGGGGGGGGGGGGTGGGAAGTTTGTCTAGACAGATATTGATACACCCTCAAGATAAAGTTAGATATCTTCGTATGAGAGCTTTGGCCGAGGGGACAAGTGTACCTAGTCAGGCTGACCTTAGTACCGGGTCAAATCAATTTCAACCGGGAATTAATACTGTTACCGGTGATATTTTATATTATGATCCAAAAAAAGATCTGGAAGAATTGGCAAAAATGGTTACTGCTATGTGCTTACCCTATAGTTTTCCTTCTAACCCTCACTTTGTGCATTATATTAGAAAAGTTTTTAATCCTACATATAAAGGATGGCCTCGCACAACTGTAAAGAGCGATATTTATAAATATAAACATGAATATGAACAATATTTGCGCTATTTATTTACTCATATAAATTATCGTGTTGCTATTACTACTGATATTGGTAGAAGTGGTAATGACTATGATTATCTTACTGTTACCAGTCATTGGATTGATGAGGATTGGATAATGCAAAAGCGCATTATTGCTGATAGAATAATTAATTCACGTCACACAGGATAGTTTATTTCTAACACGGTTATGGATATTTGTAGATATTTTTGCGTTAGTGATAAAATAATGTCAGTTTCAATGGATAATGCTACTAGTAACACTAATGTTGTAGCCTTACTTACCACTACACTAAATCCTGCATTTAGTAACATTTTTCATGTTAGATGTATTTGTTATATTTACCATTTAATTTTGGGTGATGGTATGAGAATTTTAAATGTTGAAATTGAAAAAGTTAAAATGGCTCTTAACTGACTTTTTTAATCAAACTGTAGAAGTAGACTAAGAGAATATTTTAAAAGATGCGATGAATTAGGCCTAAGAGAAAGAAATGTTCCTAAAGCTTGTCCAACTAGATGGAATTACATGTGTGAAAGTTTAGTTGTTGCATATGAATACAGAAACCCCATAAACTCAACGTTTAATGCTCATGTAAGTGATGATGATGAGCACCTTACAAATACGGATTGGGCTAATGTTAAAATGCTTGTAGATTTTTTAGAAAAATTTCATATTTCTACAAATAAATTTTCTGGGCAATATTATCTTACTATTTCTAACTGTTTAGTTTATATTGCAGAACTTGCAAATTTGTTTGCTCATTTTTCAGAGGGTGGGGAAATTTATGAACAAACTATTGATTCTATGAGAAAAAAGTTTAAAAAATACTTTTTTCCCTATTCCCCCTATTTATGGTGTTGCTGCCTTGTTAAATCCTACAATGAAATTAGGAGGTCCTTAATTTTGGTATGAAACTGTTTATAATGGTTTAGCTCTTGAAGATGAGGAGTTGTCTAAACTTCCGGAAGCAATAGCCTCAATTAAAATAAATGCTCAAACTATTTATAGTTCTTATCAAATTGCATTAGATCATGCTAGACCAAATGTTCCAACTCCTTCTTCTTCTAGTTCTCAATCATCTAAAAGAACAGCGGGAGTAAGGACACTTAGTACTTGGGCGGGGTTCAGGGGTTCTCAAAGTTCTAGTACTAGTGATTTTTCACAACTAAATGAGCTTGAAGTTTATTTGTCACAGGGAATTGAGGAAGTGAATCCCGAAGGCTTTGGAATGGTGGAAGGACAAAGAAAAATATTTTCCGATTCTTTCAAGGATAGCCCGAGACATTTTAATTATTCAAGCTTCAACAATGGCATCGGAGAGCGCTTTCAGTCAAGCAAGACTTCAACTAGGTGATTATAGAGCGTCTATGAGGGAGAGCTTGGAAAAATCAGTACTTTTCAGAGATTGGATCCGTTCGAAACGAAGAAATTTTGGACTTGCTGAATCACAACCAGAGGTAAACGAAGCTTACGAAGAAATGCTAGCTGAACTTGCGGAGGATGCTGCTTCGCCCGGAAGCGGTGATGATCAAGCTTCTTTTCCGCCACCACCAACAGAAATTCCTCCGGACCTTGAAGGATTTATGAAATTTGTAAGAGATACCTGTAAATTAATATGTAACTTGTATTTTGGCACATCTTGATTAGTTTTTTTTTCTTCTCAATGGCGGTATTAGCACCTTGTGCTCATTCCATGGAGGGGAGGAAGACTAAGAAAGATATTGCCATATTTTGTTAATGCTATAATAAAATTATAATGCATTGTTTTGAATATCTCTTTACAATATTTTTTTGTTTAAATTTGAATTAAAAAATTTAGGTCACAATTCAATGATATAATTTACAAGGAATTGCCTTAGATAAAAATTAAAAAGAAATAGAAAGTATCCGTTGAGCCCACTAAGGCCCACATAGGCCCGGGACCGGCCCACTTAGCCCGGGACCATTAGTTCGTGGTCCCGATCCCGGTCTGGTTCCTACAAAAAGACCACGAAGTTCGGGCTCACTTAGGATCGGCCCACGAAGCCCGTTTAGGATCGGGCCCGACCCACATTACAGTCCTAACTACAAGTGACCTACGCATGGTTGCTAATATTTCTCCTATTCAATTAGTGTGACACTATTCCTTTAGTAGTTTTGTTTCAAAGAGGATAATATATTTCTATATTTGAAAAAAATTTAAATTTAATCTTCCCATTTATTCGTTAGTTAAAAGTATTTTTAGCCACACAAATATTGCCAAATCCCATTTGATCATTGATTTGGGTACTTGCAAATACTAAAATTTTCTATTTGAACTTCAAATGAAGTTAAAATACTGCATTGAAGATGTATTTCAAGTTCTTTGAGCCGACGGTCTACTGGAAACCTCTCTATCTTCATAAGATAGGGGTAAGGTCTGCGTGTATACTATCCTTCCCAAACCCCACTTGTAAGATTACACTGGGTTTTTTGTTGTTGTTGTTGTTGACGATGTATTTCAAGTAAAAAAAACTAGTTTCCGCTCATAAATATCATTTTTCATAGTTTTTTCCAAGTGAAATTCATGCCTGAACGTCACTCAATTTTTATAACGCTGTTTTCAACTTCAACTTTAAATGCTCCTTTTTTTCAGCTTTAAATGCCTACTAAATTGTCACTTTAGGAAAGTCATTTTGATCAAGAAAGGATTTATAAACTACATGAAGTAGGATGTAGAGACAATGTCTATGTTTAAGACCACCAAAAAAAAAAAGCCATGGCATATAGGGAGAACATAAAAGGCAAAAAACACCCAAGGTTGTGGTCAAGCGGCCAATGGAGTAGGTTAATTATGAGAGATCAAAACTCAAATCTTAATTGAGATAAAAAAAAATATTAAGTAATTTCTTTTCATTTACTTAAACTTTAATTAGTAGAGTTATCCGATACTTGTAGGTATGAACTAAAAAATTTAGAAAAGCAAAGGGGCGAGAAGTAGGAAACTCCCTTTTGGTATTATTGCATATATGATGTATCAGGAACACATCTTATCACAAATCTTCCATTGAATCGTGTAGCCAACACAACATATATTAGTGAGTTGTATACATGAATACGAGATTAAGACATTAAACTAAAAAAGAGGCTACAATTTGGTGGCTAAGCACACTTGATTAAACAAATTTTTAAGTCCAAAATTCTTTAATATCAGTTGACAAATAAATAAGTACTGCTATATTCAATTGCATTTAATATCATTAAATACTTCTAGCTTACAATTAAATACACACATGAAATGTCCTACTACTCCCATTTCCTTTCCACCTTCCTCTTTCTTCCCTTAATTATATCTCCTCTTTTCCCCTTCTATTCCTTCTTATAAACTCACTACTTTTCATATCCAAAAACTCCATTAAAACTCATTCAACAAAAAAGTGAGAATATTTCAAAATCCCAAGTCTTAAATTATAGTATATTTTAGGGGAATTTTTAGCTATTATGTCCAAGAAAATGAAGATTTCTTCTATATTCAAGAAAAGAGAAATAGGGGCAACTAATTGGCAATGGCCATCTTGTGCACATTCCAAGACTCTATCTTTTAGAGCAGATGACAATATTTTCAAGACTATTAATTCAGTCTTTTTTGACCCTTTAGATGGTATTGAAACCTCAGAATCTTGGTTCACAAATTCCTCATCAGAATCAGCTAGCATTTCAACAGAATCCAATGAAGAATACTTAGGAAAAGATCAACCATTGGAAATGATCATAAAAGGGGTTAGATCAGAAAGACTATTTTTTGAGCCAGGTAATACAAGTTCAATATTTCAAGAATCAAAACCATGTAAAAATCAAGAACAAGAAGATGAAGAAGAAAATAAAGAAGATGATTTGCCATTTAAAGAGAGTATAGTTTTGGCTATGGAATCAGAAGATCCTTATTTGGATTTCAAGAAGTCAATGAAGGAAATGGTGGAAAGTCAAGGGATTAAAGATTGGGAAGATTTACAAGAGTTATTAGCATGGTATTTGAAGATGAATGGGAAAATAAATCATGGATTTATTTTAAGTGCTTTTGTGGATTTGCTTATTGAGCTTGCTGCTCCTATTGATCCTAGTAATTCTGATAATTCTGTTACTTCTTATTCTTCTGTTGCTTCTTCTTCTTTCTCTTGTCCTTCTTCTCCTTTGTCTTCTTTAGGTCATAAGGAGATTGAGGAGCAAGGAAATGGAGAAGTCCCCTAGGCTCCATTTGTTTTTGGGTGCAAGCCCCGGAAACAATTTCTCGCAGAAATGTAGCGTAAGACTGTGTTCAACAGATTCTTGTGATCCGACACTTCCCCGGATCCCGCGCATAGCGGAAACTTAATGAGGCTGCCCTTTTTTATTCAATATCCGTAATCTGCTGGTCCAACTAATTCAAATTCACGCAGAATAGATTTATTCTCTACGGAAAGGATTTTCATTCTCGAGACTGATATTCGAGACCTTGTAAATAAATGGAGAGATCAAAATCATTCCACCACAATACTAGGTGTGGCAGTGTATCTCTTTGTGTGTATACCATGACTTAGGTCTAAAGGAAAAAAAAATAGTATTATTATTATTATATATGTTACAGATGCAAGGGTTATCAGTTTTTTTTCTTTTTTTTTTTACGCCATCCTACTTCATGAAAAAAATAAAAGGAAATAAAAATATTCAAGAGAACACTTGAAAAGTCATAGCTTTGGAATAATTAAATGCAGTCACAATAGGTGTTTTTTTTTTTTCGCCTGTTTTTTTTGGCATTAAAAATTGATTGACCTAATTAGTGAAAACGTAAAAGTTTTGAGGTCACCTTCTTGTTTGAGAATAAGACAATCGCTCTTACCCTTTTCAATAGAGACGGAAAAAAGTTATGCACTCCCTCAAAGAGGGTCATAATTGCATATTTACATGGCCAGTGATATAATCAGAACAAAAAAAAAAAAAAATCAATCTGTTTAAATAATTTGAGCTTTATTAGCTCCTATAAGTAATTTCATAATTCGTAAGGTTTTTTCTTTCTTTCTTTTTGACACGAAGAAACTCCCTACGTTATCATTAGAGTTAATTACAATAAACACTCAGGTAATATGACTCAGTTGAGAATACACACACCCTATATGTATTTTAAAATCAAACACCTATACCCAAATCCTACACCTACACCCCTTATGAGGTATATCCATAACTAATTATATTATAATATAATTTTTTAAAAATAAAAAGTTCTTTTATATTTTTGTGAATTCTAGTTAGTTATAGTTAGTTAGAGCAGTTAGTGGTTAATGCCAGCTCATATCCAGCTCATAAGTTAATGGTTAGTGTAGTTAGGCTTGTATAAATACTCCCTTGTATCTTCACATAAGAGATAGAGAATCATTTTGCAATGCTTGCTTCTTCTTCATTTCTGAGCTCTAGAAGCTTTTGCCATTAGAGCAGTGCAGAGCTTTTGTGAATCTGCTCATCGTGAGAGTAGATTTTAGCATGGTATCAGAGCAGGTACAAGCTAATTAGATTCTCAGTCATTGATCGATCCTTCGACATCAATTTCAATTCCTCTAGAGATTGCTAAAGTGTGAGAATCAGTTATGGCGGAAGCAACAATTCCATACACACATCCATTGTATCTAGGTCCAGCAGATACTCCAGGCATAGTTCTAATTCCTGTGTGAAGCTTACAGGATCTGAAAATTACGGGTTATGGAGTAGGACGATGAAGATGCACTACTTGGGAAGAGAAAGCTAGGGTTCGCGAATGGAACTTGTACAAAAGAATCATGTAATGCCGAGCTACAAGAGCAATGGGAGACCTGTAACGCCATTGTCCTCTCATGGCTCATGAACACAGTATCCACAGAGCTCTTATGTGGAATCGCATATCCTTCAAATGCTCATCTCGTGTGGGAAGACTTGAGGGAGAGGTTCGACAAGGTGAATCGCATGAGAATTTTCTAGCTGCATCGAGCCATTGCCACTCTCTCACAAGGTACAGATTATGTTTCATGTTACTTCACAAAATTGAAGGATTTATGGATTGAGTATGATGCTATGGTACCTAAGGCCAATTCAAGGGATTATGTTGATCATTTAGAGCAGCAGGGATTGCTGCAATTCCTTAGTGGATTAAACGATTCTTATGATCAAGCTAGAAGACAGATCCTTATGAAGTCGAATATGCCTTCCATCAATCAAGCTTATGCAATTGTGATTGAGGATGAATCTAGACAGTGTCCTGGTATGGGTGCAGTAATTGATAAGATGAGCTAGTAGCTATGCAGGTAGGTCGTAATCAAAGCTACAAGGGAAAGAAAACCTTTGTGCAATATGAACACTGTGGTTACAAAGGTCATACCAAGAAAAACTACTATAAGCTCATTGGATATCCTGAAGACGTTAAAGGGAAAAAGAGGTTCAATCAGCGCAATACTGGACAGAATCAGCTCAATAATGGACAATTTGGTCGATGAACTCCACAATTTAATGTTGTTAACAATGTTTCTAGCAATGCAGGTGTTAAATGCTCTTCTAGCTGTGACTTGCACGATGTTTTTGTTGGAAAAGGACCATTCTTCAAGAGGAACAGTACAAGCAAATTCTAGCATTGTTGAACAAGGAACCAGCTGAAACTCAAGACAACATGGAAAGTCAAAGCAATATGGCAGGTATTACAGCTTGTTTCATCACCAAGACATTAATAATGAATGGATTGTGGACTCGGGTGCCACACATCATATAGCTGCATCTATGGATATATTAGCAAATGATAGTACTAAGAAAGAATCTAAAGACACAGTACACTTACATACTGGAGATAAGATCCCTATTTCTCATACAGGCCATGCATCTCTGTTTGGTAGTGAGGTTATAAAAGGTGTTTTATTCGTACCAGACTTCAAATTTAATCTCTTATCAGTCTCCAAACTCACAAGAGAACTGAGGTGTTCAGTGAATCTTTTCCCTGACTTTGTCCTCTTCCAAGATCTTTATAGTGGCAGGGTAAAGGGGATTGGTAAGGAGACAGGTGATTTATACATTGTCAAAGGTAGCATTAATAATAACAGTAGAAGCTGTAATGTAGCAGCATCAGTTGTTGTAAAATGAGGACTGCAGGTTGTGGCATCAAAGGCTTGGCCATCCTTCAGCTTCTGCTATGAAGAGTATGAACTGGTTAGGAAGCATTGTAAATAATGATCTTTTGAATAATTGTCCTGTATGTCCCTTAGCTAAACAAACTAGACTGTTGTTTCCTACTAGTACTTCTAGGGCAGTATCCCCTTTCGATCTTGTTCACATGGATTTATGGGGTCCTTATAAATACCTACTTATGACAAGAAGTATTATTTCCTTACTGTTGTGGATGAATTTAGTAGGTTTACTTGGATTCATTTACTACAACTTAAATCTGAAACAATTGTTGCAATCAAAAACTTCCTACTAATGGTAAAAAACCAGTTTGGAGTAATGGTGAAAGTCTTAAGATAATGGCACAGAGTTCTTTAACTCACAGTGCAATGATCTGTTACAGGATTTTGGAATTTTGCATCAAAGCAGCTGTGTTCACACTCCACAACAAAATGGAGTTGTGGAGAGAAAATACAGACACATCTTAGATGTCACTGAGATTTCAATGAAAAATGCCAATTAGATATTGGGGAATCTGTGTAACTACTGCAGTATACCTGATGAACATGTTACCCTCATCAGCTATTAGAGGATAGAGTCCTTATGAGATGCTATACACAAGGCCTCCATCCTTAACTTACCTGAGAGTGATAGGGTGCTTGTACTTTGCTTTAGTTGTTCCCAAAGGAGATAAATTTGCTGCCAGAGCTAAGGCATCAGTCTTGATGGGATATTCCGAAAGATAAAAGGGTTACATCTTGTTAGAACTTGCTACCAATAGAATATTTGTAAGTAGAGATGTGGTATTCAAGGAATCTGTGTTTCCTTTTGCAAAACAACAAGGGTCTCCTATCAGTCACAGTCCTCATGTTGATCATCTGGATTCTGGCATACTTGATGCTGGAATGCCATCTGTAGAAGTTACAAACAATTCACAAAGTTTAGGCCAAGATCCAGATGTGGATCAAGGCTCAGTTGAACACACAACTGACAATGCAGAGGAAGACAACGAGTTGCAAGATAACTCCATCTGAAGGCATCACTCCAATCATACCGGAAGATGAACATCATGCACCTAATAAAAGCATGGCATCTGATACTGCACTTAGGAAATTTTCCAGGACCTCTGTACAACCTATTTGGTTGAGAGATTATATCACAACACAAAAGGGAACCAGTAAATATCCCATCACTAACTACATATCCTATGACAAAGTCACACCAAAGTACCAGAGCTATTTGACAAAGGTTTTTACATTAGTTGAGCCCAGATCCTTCAAACAAGTTGCAAAGGATGCTAGGTGGATTGAAGCAATGAAGCAAGAAATCAAGGCTTTAGAGGATAACAAAATTTAGGAAGTTGTAGATTTGCCATCAGGAAAAGATACTGTGGGATCCAAATGGGTATACAAGATCAAATACCAAGCAAATGGAGAAATGGAAAGATTCAAGGCTAGACTAGTTGCAAAAGGATATAGCCAACAAGAGGGTCTAGATTACCATGATACTTTCTCTCTTGTAGTGAAGATGGTAACAGTGAGGTCAGTCATAGCCTTGGCTGTTTCAAAAGGATGGAATTTATACCAGATGGATGTCTACAATGCCTTTTTGCAAGGTGATCTTAATGAAGAAGTTTACATGGATATGCCTGAAGGCTTTAGGAGGCAGGGGGAGCAGAAGGTCTGCAAATTGCTTAAGTCTTTGTATGGACTTAAGCAGGTATCAAGACAGTGGAACATCAAGTTGTCTAATGCACAAGCAGCAGCAGGCTTCATACAAAGAAACCATAATTATTCCTTATTCACATTGAGGAAACCAGAAGACATGGTGATCATCTTAGTGTACGTGGATGATTTACTCATCACAGGCAGCAATGATCAACTGACTCCGAGGCAAAGGAGATACTTTACCAACAATTCAAGCTAAAGGACTTAGGTGAGCTTAAGTATTTTTTGGGTATTGAGATTTTAAGGTCAGCATCTGAGGTAGTTTTGAATCAAATAAAATATGTTCTAGAACTCATTTCTGAGATGGGACTCAGTGGTGTTAAACCAGCAATCACCCTTAGAAACCAATGTCAAGTTAACCACAATTGCCTATGATCAGGCAACAGGTTCTACTGGTGACTCACCTTTAGATGATAGCAGTGCTTATCAAAGATTGATAGGCCGTTTGATGTATTTGACCACGACAAGACTTGACATCAGCTATGTTGTTCACACACTGAGCCAGTTCATGCAACACCCCAAGAAGTCTCATTGGGAGGTTGCTCTTAGAGTGGTTAGATATCTGAAGAATGCTCCAAGCCAAGGTAATTGGTTGAGATCTAATCCTACATCAGAGTTGCAATGTTGGTGTGATTGTGATTGGACTTCTTGCCCCAATAATATGACATCATTAACAAGTTATGTGATAAAATTTGGTGAATCCCTCATTTCATGGAAGTCAAAGAAGCAGCAAACAATGTCCAGAAGTTCAGCTGAAGCTGAATATCGAAGCATGGCTTATGCTGTAGCTGAAGTCACATGGTTACTCGGCCTCTTCCAAGAGTTGAGCGTTCCTATTAAGCTTCCTGTTCCAGTTCAATGTGACAGCAAATCTGCTATACAATTGGCTGCTAATCCTATTTTTCATGAAAGAACAAAACACATTGAGATCGATTGCCATTTCATTCGTGATAAGATCAAGGCAGTGGTGGTCAAGTCTGTCTATGTCCATTCCAAGGATCAGCCAGCTGATTTACTCACCAAGAGCCTCTCTCAAGCCTCATCTTCTTAGCAAGCTTGGTATGCTGAATATATTGCACCCTCCAGCTTGAGAGGGAGTCTTGTGAACTCTAGTTAGTTATAGTTAGTTATAGCTAGTTAGAGCAGTTAGTGGTTAATGCTAGCTCATATCCAGCTCATAAGTTAATGGTTAGTGTAGTTAGGCTTGTATAAATACTCCCTTGTATCTTCAGAGAAGAGATAGAGAATCATTTTGCAATGCTTGCTTCTTCTTCATTTCTGAGCTCTAGATGCTTCTGCCATTAGAGCAGTGCAGAGCTTTTGTGAATCTGCTCATCGTGAGAGCAGATTTTAGCATATATTTAACAAAAAATATTTTGGTTGCAAATCTTTATTCACTCTTTTGCTTTAAAAAATATATATTTTATTTTAAAATGTATCTTTTGAAAATCTTAAATAGGAAATATACCCAAGTTAATATTTTGTATAACAAGATTCTAGTCATATTATTAAGTAACTTGTTCATTTCTTATAGAGTTTCGAAAGGCACATGTTGCAAAAAATATTTTTTCTCTTTTTTAATCAAAGACGTGAATAAATATTTTGAAAAATTTATAATCTTTTTAAAATTTCATAAAAATAAATACGTAAAACTTTTGGTTTATAATTTTAATTTATATTTTTATAATTATATTTTAATATACTTAGTTTCGAATATTACCTCATGAGGGTATAAGGGGTGTAAGTATATGATTTTCATGGTATAGGAGGTGTAAATATTTGACTTTGTAACACAGGGGCGCAACCAACAAACTAATAAGATGATGATGCTAAGATCCAGAATGGAGCTGAACTAGTAAGGCAGCGAAGAATAAGGTGTTCGGCACCCAAGGATTTAACCTAATGGTCAATGAAATAGAATGAAAATATAAAAATCGTGATTTAAATTCCAACAAAAACAAAAATACAAGGTGATTTATTCTCACTTGTCTAAGCCTTGTCGGAAGATAGCAAGTACCCAATTAAATTATCGAGATGCGCGCAAGCTGAATCTTACCGTGGATAGGAGATGCATCACGTGTTTCATTTAATTGCAGGACTTCGTGCCAAAATCTCTAAGACTTTAAAAAACAGCAATTAGAAGTAGTCATCACATGATCATGTGGAAGCAGTTACAAATTTCATGACATGATCATGTGGTGTGAAAGAGAGTACTTGTGTTTGTAAAAAAAAAACCTCAGTTTAAGATAGTTTTCTTTTTAAGGGTTGATGAAGACAGATAGAAAAGAGTAACAGCCTGGAATGACAAAATTATAGGACCATCTCAAACAGTGTCGGCCTAAACTCTCCCCACCATCGTTTGGACCATTTATCTTATATATGCATAAATTTTCCATGAGATCTGTGAGCTGAAATTTGTTTAGAAGACCATGGTGTAAAAATTTGTATGAAAATTGTAAAATTCAAAAGCAACAAACTTAACAAAAACTATTGAGATTTATGCATAATGGCATTGGTGCATAATAGTTTATTAAGTTACCAAATGTTAAATTAGAGAGTATAAAGCATATTAGGTAAATTTTAGTAAGATAATCGAGAAGAAATTAAAAGGAACATGACCCTAAAGGGCAAAAAACTCAAGGCCAAGGGTGACGAGACATTCTCTATTGGGGCGATAGCTCATGAGAATTTGGCCTAGGCAGAATTTGAAGTTTATGGCTTTGGGTTTGGATTATAGCTCGTTTAAGTTATTGGGTTTTAAATTAATAATTTATACATATTTAATGTATTTCTTAAGACAATATGTGGTTTTGAACCAAAGCTACTGGGTTCAGCCGAACTCATATCCCGCATGCTAGCTCCACCCCTGCCTCCCAACAATTGCGTGTCGTCATTACCTAGAGATATGGTGGGATGGATGAGATTCCTCCATCCTTAACCAAAAATTTCGAATTCGAGCCTGAGAATGAAAAAATTCTAATATGAAGACACAATGTGAATCTGTATTTAGTCGAATCAACGCAAAAACAAGTCCTAATTTTGTCTTTTGGAACATTACAAAACTTAGCCCTACTGCTGCTGTATAATTGTACTCATCCTCACATGCTTGGAAGTTGGGCAACACCAGAATGAGGTGCCGTAGAACAGACACGAAATGACTGCTCCAATAATAGTCTTCCAATATTGCGTTCAAAAACTCGGTAGAAAATATCTGTACAAATTTGTGTTGTAAGTGGGGACTGTTTTGTCAAAATGCTTGAAATCCTCCGAGAACCGGAAACATGCATTGTACAAACAGAGGCGGAGGCAAGATTGAAAACAGAGAAACTCAAAAAATGCTAAAAAAATGTCATAGTGCGAGAATCGAAAGGGTAACATGAACAGTTATCACCTACATACCTAACTCCGTGACCAGTGGCGGAGACACCCTTTACTACTTTAGTAAAAAGTGACATCCAACACTGATTCGTATTAAAGTTTCCTTATATATATATATATATATATATATATGTGTTATAACAATAGCCTGACACTAAGGACAACCCGGTGCACAAAGCATCCCGCGTTCATGTAGGGTCCGGAAAAGGGCCGTACCCCTAATGTAGGGTCCGGAAAAGGACCGTACCCTAGGGGTATAATTCAAGCAGCCTACCCTGATACAAGTATTAGTGGCTGATTCCACGGCTCGAACCCGTGACCTATAGGTCACACGGAGACAACTTAACCGTTGTTCCAGGGCTCCCCTTCAATAGCCTGACACTGTTTGGAAATTTTGTGCCTACGCTCTTTCTATGGTAATAACGTATTAGATTGATGCCAACTTCACTACAAAGTAGTAACATTTTGAATAGGCTGACAAGGCAAAACAAGGAAGCATCTTATTGCCAGTACAATTATTAGCTATTGTTGTCAAAGTATTAACCCATAAAACATATGTAGGAAATTTGTCATTAGAAGTTGACAATGTTAGGTTTCAATCACCAGTAACCAAAAAAAGGTTTTTTTACTCCAACATGCATTACACTGAAAATCAAAGTTTTGAGTTGACAACAATGGACAATTTATAAACATATGCAGAAAACCTCTCATTTTTGCATGTTCTGCTTCTGTTCCATCTGTTTCTTGAATTTCTAAAACCTACAAAAATAGAGGGAGTACCACTAAATCACAATAGCTGTCAAGTGTCAACAACTGCTTCAATTACTTGAGAAGTTCTACAATGAGAGAAAAATGATGTTGCCATTGTTTTTTCCCCTATATCAATTGGTCCAGAGACAAGCTCCTCAATTTGACAAATACATGCTTGAAACTTAATGGGGACATCATTAATATCTCCCTAACAACAACAACTAACTTCTAACAACAAGATTTGGGCAGTAAGAAATTGACAAATGGGGACACCATTCATTTCTCCCTTTGTAAATTGTAACCACAGCTAACTTCTAACAACAAAATTTTGGGCAGTAAGAAATTGACAACAAAACATGAGAACTGCAGGATGTCTACTAGAGACTAAAAAGGTTAGGTCCCATTAGCCATTGGTCAGTTACTTAGTACATCTGTACCTGCACTGATAGGAAGATCGCAAGTTCCCTGCACAATAGTCGAGGTGCATGCAAACTGGCCTAAACACAGGCCACCACCATTTTAATATTTAAAAAAAGACAGAGAGAGAGAGGGGGAGGGAAAGGGGGGGGGGGGGGGAGGGGGAGGGGGAGGGGAGGATGTCACCTAAACAGTCATATGATAACTTCTCAACCTGCAATTACACATTATGAACAAACAAGTTGCAGCGACTAAACACAACATTTCTCGGATGGAATTCCTATCTATTTTCAAAGAGTCTGGCAGTATGTCACCATATTGCCACTCTTCTTTTCATCTATTTTTAGATTTTCCTATGAGTAAAGCCAAACTTCAAAGAAGTCCAGAATTTGACATTGTTTCAGCAGGACTACCTGATCATAACCACTTCATTCTCTTATAAATCATCAATGTAGAGGCTTAAGTACACTAAAGCTTCAATGCATATTCTACTTGCTCATGCTAAATCTGAACATCCTATAAAAAGAAGATTTCATACATCTCGTCTTAATCATATTCTAAACTCTAAACGCATGGTGACTCAATTTTCTTTGTGATTAGATCCACAAATCAAAGATCAAGGTCAGTCAGAGATGCACCCCTCAGGTGATAACTCCGTTCTTGCTAACTGTAGAAACTCAATTATCTATAACAAACAAGACGCTGAATCCCATTTAGCATAAATCAAAATTCTACCAGATATAAACTCAAAAAAAGTAATATGGCAAACAGGCTGATAAAACAATCAAGAAGTCGCCTTCAATTCACATTTGTTCGAAAGAAATCTGTTCCACATTTAAAGAAAAAACAAGCAAAAGTTTACAACAGCAAATACTCATTAACTTATATTAAGAATGACAGCTGGAACCTCATTGCAATGCTGGCCGAAAAACTTCCACCAATTGTAGATCTCTCATTCATTATCTGGACTTAGTAGACATAAATAATTGGCTTAATCAGAATCCTCAAAGTATTCTCCTTCATCAGATGGCTCATCGAAGGAACGCATGTCAAGCTGGTAACGAAGGATTCCCCCAATGCCACCAAATCCTCTGCAAAACTGTGATCCCTCTTGAGACCTGTTAGTAACAAACTCAAGCGAACAACCAAAAGTTTTATATTCATTTGCAAACCACTCGAGCAGGGGCATCTTATCCTGAACCTCCAATTCAGCTGATGTGGCAGGATCCTTGAAGTTGCTTTGATCAGCCTCTCCGTCCTTGTTTAGGTGCTTAATGACAATCTCATTAGTCACACTATTTTTCAAAACATACCGGTTTATATCAAGATTTTCCCACACAATAAGAGTTTCAACAGCTCCCATCTCCAAAGCTTTTATTGTGTCATCCACACCGAACACATACTTTCCAGTATCTTGACTGATTTCCTCGAAGAATTTCCCTATCAAGCGCTTTTCTTGTATAAATTTCACATTAGCTAGAATCTCAGCAGACAGCTCGATTGCCTGATTGAAACCATTTTCCCCACCATAGGACACATCGACCACATTAAGTATCTTTGCTTGTAGGCGCGGATCAAACATATCAGATTGGCTTAGCTCGGTCTTGAAATCAGCCGATCCAGCAAGTATTAGCCCAGATACATTTGGCTGGCTAGTGGCTGGATTAATGAAGAATTGAGTAGCAAGCTCTGCTGTCTTCCTCACATAGTTATGACGTTTCTCCATTCGAAGACGAGCGAATCGAAGAGCTGATTGACCTCCTCTTCCGTGCTTCTTTGGGAGGTCGACAGTGAACTTATGAAGAACTTCTCGTGTGTTGCCACTTAAGGTCCCAAAAAGCGTGCCATTACCGTCCATGACAATGAAACCAAACTTCTCATCAGATTCCAATAATTCACCCAGAGGTTCTGTATGAAACTTGTTGTCACATAAGTAGAGAGATGCATTTATGGGTTTAAAAGGTGTAAGATCAAAGGTGACCTTCTTTTCCTTCCCATCATCTGTCACTATAGTTCCAGTATAAAGCAGCAATCCATTAGGAGGAACTTTGTTATACAGTTTAAGCCTTTGCTGGGCAGACGTTATTGCACCAAGCACAGACTGACGGTTTACTCTGCTCTTAATATTTGAGGCAGTACCGTATTCTTCTGCCAGCATCTTGGTAATACGAGATATCTGATCACCAGGGGGTATGATAAGAGAGATCATGCTCGTGCCATTTCCTCTGGCAGATTGTAGGGCTTTGATTAACTTTTTCATTTTCCATATTTCAATATTCTTATCATTTTCTTGGCCATCTGCCATTGCCGATTAACACCAAGCACTTACCTCAGCTACAAATCAATCTGACCAAGAGGCATACAGAAGACAAATCAGAGTCCACATAGATCAAAGTACATAAGAGAACAAAGAAACATGAGAAAAGAAAATAAACTGCAGGTCCATTCCAAAGTAATTATTTTGGAGAACGATGCTCAGGATTTATTCAGTGAGCACATAGTTCACATCACACTTAAAAGGATCAGAAGTACTTAAAACTGAGAGAGATTTAGCATCTTTATATCAACTATCTAACAGGTGAAAATTGAAAAAACAATTCCCATTTCTTATTGGTTTACGTACTCAACATGAATGTGCCCTTTTAAGGAAGAATACATAGGAATATTGTAGTTTCACTCTGTGTACCCTTACTTAAAAGCTAAGTTGACAGAAAGAGGATCCTTTCATTTATCAAATATACGTCTTCAACATACCCCGTTATACTGGGATGCAGTTTTTTTTCTTGGACTAAGAGCTAAGATGTATTATTGTTGATGAACGGGGCAATAGAGTTGAACTCAGAACCTCTGCTAGCTTTGCTACTATGTTGAGCCGAACTATGTGTATCACCTCATCTAAAAGCTTAAGACATGTTTCGTCAAACATAAATGTGCACATTTCGCTTTTCGTGGTGCTTATATCCATCATTTTACTCAATTCCCAAACAACTTTACTTAGAAAAGAAAGAACAACTAACCAACTCCATTAACTACCAAACATCAAATGATAACAAGAGAAATCAAGTCCATGTCACAATGTGACTACCCTCTATCATTGTCTTCATGATAAATTTACAAACAAGTCGATATCTTCTGAAGTTGCCTCCCCTCTTCGCTTCTCTTGATGTACCCTTGTCAAAAGGGTACGCCATAGGTATGGGTTTTTTCTGTGTACTCTTCAAATTTTCAAAAAAGACTTGCTAGAAGCTGGACATGCTCCCATCACAAACGTCTGCCCTTTCTTGATGAATAAAGGTAGTTTCATTCATGAATTAGAGCAAAGAATGTGCTGGACATGTACATAGCAAACATAGTTCCATTACAAACCAGCAAACATCTGCTTTTGATAATCGTACTTGAGTCCATAAAACATCTCTGACACAACAAACACCATCACTAATAAATGTTCCCCAAACAATCAAAAACTGTGTCAAACTTCATCAAGAAAGACCTTCAGCCTCAACAGCAGAAAGTTCAATAACATGTTTAGCTTCATCATGGAACACCATATGTTGAAGTCTCTTTTCTTTAACAACCTAAGAAAATTAAAAGCTGCATTGTTCAGACCATGATCATTGAAAACGTGAAATCTTGAACTTGCACGATTGAGAACATTACTAGTCTTCTTTTTGTAAACAGGATCTCCTTGTAGTAATTGAATCAACCAACCATGCCTCAATCCAAAACTTGTCTAGCTCAACTATACAAATCATCTTCCTCGTTCTGCTCTATTCAAGTCCATTCCCTTCCAACACTAAATAAATTGTCTGTAACCAGGAACAATACACTAGCCGCAACTACCTGCCCATAAAACTAACCTAGGCTGGCAATGAAGAAGATCAAACCCACAGACCTCAACTAAAAGTGACACTGGTTTAAAATCTCAAAACTACACACTATAGAGCACTTTTTTAAATCTCTAATCAGACACCACTAAAACAACTCTAATACCTCAAGAGCAGTAAAATAGTTGCACAATATATAACATGGCACTTATGTGAGGGCGGGGCCAATCACACTTTACTACAACTAGCCCTAAAAATGCCAGAGGCGGACGTAGAGTTCAACTTATGGGTTCATTTGAATCCAGTAGCTCTGGCTCTGGCCATGTTTATGTGTTAAAAAATTCACTACATAAGTACAAATAATTGATCTCGAACCCAGTAAATCAAATGAGTTGTGGTATGGTCCCAGACTCAAACATCCATCAAGTTCAAATCCTGAATTCGCCTCTGAGGAATGCATAGATCTATTAGCTGATACCTTCTAGCACAAAGCAATTAGCCTATCAGGTTTCATAATAAATCTTCAACCTTTTTTCATTATTTACCCATTGACTTCTTTATTAGCAAGAAAAAACATAGTAGACATTCAAGCACGAATCCGTTCAGTAGCGGATAGCAGCATGGGCAAAGCACTCTGCTGCGGCGAGCAGCTGGTTCTTATTTCATAATTTCTAATATTTTGTAGTAGTGCTAACAATACTGATGCAAGAACCTAACAATCTATGCAGATAACCAAGGGAGGATGTACAGTATAAGCTGTAGGTTCAGCTAAACCTAGTAGCTTAGGTTCAATACCCATATACGTGTTAATAAAATCTACTTTAGTAAATATGTATAAATATTAATTTCGAACACACTAACTCAAATAGTCAATGGGCTCAGTGTCATTCCCAACCCATAAAGTTCAAATCCGGGATCCGCCTCTACAGATACACATATCAAATAAAATCAAGAATTCAAGCAAATCCCAGCTATGGTTTACCCTTTAGATTGATCTCAACCAATAATACCCTTAATCCAAGAAAACCCATATAAAAATAACAAAGCTAATCCATAAAATGAAATTCAAGAATTCCAATTCTGGGGGATTTTTAACCATTAATAACTTCAATCAAACAAAACTCACATCAGAACTACGAGCTAAACAATGAAAAGGTGAGGTTAATTATGTGAGAGATAAGAAGGGTACAGTACCTTTTCGAAGCAGCGTTCGGTGTAGCTTGAGCAAGCTGGTTGTGAAAATGTTAAAATCCCTATATTAATTGTTTTTTCTATGGAAGAAATAATATAGTAATATGACTAAAGTTGATACTTTCAAAAGGATCTAAGGCAAGATATTTTTCCATAAATAGAGAAGTTTGGTATTGCATGAAACCTATAAGAAATAATTATTAATAATAGAGATATATTTTAAAACAAATTTCTTAATGATTCTCTGTCATACTTTAAATTAATTACAATATGATTTAATATTACATTAGTGGCAAGACTCTAATATCTATATACACGTAAAAATAGCACAGGCTAGCTAGTTTTTTGACTGGCCATTCAAAAATAGCCAGTGTTTGCAAAGTCATTGAAAAATAGCCACTATTTTGCTGCAACACGGAAAGTTCCAGCATAATATACTGGAGATCGGTGCACCTGTGTATGAATTTCTAGCATATTATGCTGGAACTCCAACACGCGGAAAGTTCCAGTATAATATACTGCGAATTGGAGCACCGGTGCTCCAATATCCAGTATATTATGCTGGACTGGTATATTATACTAGAACTCCAATATATTATACTGGGTTCCAATATACTTATGCTGGAATTTCAGTATATTATACTGGAGTATTTTTTCGGATTTTGAGTAGTATTTTCGTTCAGATTTATCTTTAGATGAAAAGTGGCTAAATTTCTATTACTTTTGAAACCGTGGCTATTTTTGAATGACCACTTGTAAATCTGGCTATTTTTGAATTTCTCCCTATATACACACTAGACGCTATAGGTCTGTGCTAGCACGAGCCCAACAATTTAGGTTTGTGTTAATTTATATATGAAAATTATTACATTATTGAGGGATACACAAATTTGAGTTTCTTATGTGTACTTGTAATGTGTTTGCTGCTAGTTTTTATTTTACTTGTATCTTGTTAGTCTTAGAGCAATAAAGTGCTCATGGAAGCAGGTATATATTTCTAATTGCCCACTCGTTAAAAATATCAAGTTAATATTCTATATAATAGAAGAGCGAGAGTTTCGACCTGTTAGTTTTTAGTCATTAAATTTCTAACTGAGGTTATTTTAGTCATTTTTGCTCTTACCTTTTTTGTGTATAGTTACATGTCTACAAAGTGGTATACGTGGCTTTAGTTCCAGGAAACACATAGTTATAGTATTACAGAGTTCCTTCTTAATCTTTTTTCTTAATTCTCTCTCATAGAGTTTCTCATCTCAACTCTCTTTCTATGCTCTGTTTCTATTGTCTTCTTTCATTATAGTTTTTTCTTGAGCTCTTGATTTTACTTGTTTCTTTCTTTATGCCACCTCAGATTTCTGGGTAACTATTTCTGCAATTCCCGGCCTTTTTTATCTCTCCATCGGTCCCACTTTCCACCAAAGAGATTGGGAGGTGGAACCCAAAAAGGATGTAAATGGAGGAGTTTGTGTAAAAGTGTCGATAACCTTCAATTCATAATTTCTCTGGGGAAAAAACATACAGAATCCCCCTCAATTTCTTCCATTAAAAACCTAACTCGAAAATTATCCAAATATTCTTCTTGTGATTATATATAAATCCGTCATTAATTCGGTTTTATTTTCATGAATTTAAGGTAAAGCTTAATTATTTAATGCTTTTACCCCATTCGGGAGGATTGTATTCTAACGTTTTGGTTAATGAACTTTCGTCAGATCTCACTGATATTTTTCTGCTTTCGAGTAGCTACATTTATTCGGAGGTTCGTGTTGTTCCTCTGCCTCTTATGGACAAGTCCTACTGATCATCTTTTTTTTTATCTTCGTCACTATGCTTTCAGGTACTCTTCGATCTTCCTTACGCTTCATATATGATTATCACTATCTGTATATATGTTTATGAGTATGCTTCTGCTGAATTCTAAGTTGGCTTTTGTGGTTCACAAAATAATTGTTTTGTTGACTAGGATCAGTTGTTTGGCTTGAATTGTTGTCTGCCCATATGAGTGGACTTATCATCTGCTAAAATGAACCTTATAAGAAGTTTATTGGTATGATTACTAATAAGTATCTTTTCCAGCTATTGTGTTTGGATGATAAAGAAGTAATTCAATGTCACAAGGATTCTGCATAATTCACCATAGATATCAAACTGATACTCTTAAGTCTACGGGTAATACTTCAGATTTACAAAATAAACAACTTTAATTTCTTGCACATGATCAAAAGCCAGTTAAGGAGATGAAACTTTATTAAAATGAAATCAAATACCCCTTTAAGTTTTGATCACGCCCAACTATGCCTTATAAAAAGGACAATGCGGACGTTGCAAATATAACCTGAGTATTGTGCCCAGAGTCGAATCCACAGAGAATTAACCTATCAATCACTATCTTTAGACCTACTAAACTCTTTAGAATCAATTTCCCAAACATTGAGAATCACAGTTGATGGTGTTTTTAATAACTAAGATTAACAGTAACTAATAGCTGCAAATTAAAGATGCTAAGCTGTAAACAATAATGAGAAAGCGCTAAGGTACTGATTTCCCCTATTAATGGAATTCCTTCTGTTTATAAATTCACCAACACATTCTATCAATCATGAACGCTCTTCTTACCGTAAATCTCTCCCGAGTAATCACAGTAATTTACTAAATGCACTCTCCCGAGATACACTAGCTAGCTTTATTTATCACAGTTCACTTAAGATTGCACCCAAGGCTTTGTTATTCCTAATCCCGCCTTTAAACTCGCAGTTATAGATCCCTCTTATACTTTGGGAGTGGTGTTGTTCAACATTCACCTAAATATGCACTCTCTCCCGAGTTATGCACACTAAATAGGCACAGCTAATTGAGGATCCTGTCAATTAACTACAACAAACACGTAGTTGAACAAATAGAAATTAAACTGGCAATTTGTATTCACATAAACAAGAAGTTCGTCCCTCAATAGGTTCCATCGAAACCCTAGACAAAAGATTTAGCTGCTCATGACTATGGGTAAATAAACTAGAACAATATTCATAATCATAATTGCAAGAAAAATTAAAGGAGAAGAAGATATGATGTTTTAGGTGATCTCTCACAATTGTTTTGCTTGCTAAAATATTCTCCAATACAATCCCTGCCTCCTTTGGGCGAAGTCTAGTATTTAAAATAGGGTTTTGGGCTAAAAATCTCGTGTTTTGCACTTAAGTCCCTGAACTTTTCCGCCTCTGCCGGGTTCTGCTGCGGTCGCGGTCAAAACCGCGGCCACACACCTTTCTCTGAATCTCAACTTGTCCGCGACAGTCTTCTACCGCGGTTCTGCCGTGGTCGCGGTGGAACCGCGGCAGTCCTTCTTCAGGCCTGGCTTGAGCTGCTTCGCTTGGTTCACTTGGCGGAATTTTACGATTGGCCTCTTTTTATCCATATTTGATCCCAAAAGTACTCCATAGCCTTCTCTTGTCATATATCACCTGCAAAGCATGAAAAGCACTAATCAGAGCATTTTGTTATCACTTTTTCATCAAAACTATACAAGAAGGTGGTTCTTTAGGGCCTAATTATAGTTAAATTCACCTATTATCAACACCCACACTTAAACCTTTGCTCGTCCTCGAGCAAGTTAAACCACACTTCTAGGCCTAACCGTTGGATGCATTGCCCCAAGTTTATGCCACACCCGCCATTATGAAAGAATAACCTAAGCAGTGCAACAGTCACACTCAGATGCAGACTCTAACGCCATGACACACTCGTGCTTACTCTAGTTACTCTAACAGAGGTGAAAACTCACTTTTTCTTCTTGAGTCACATGCCCTCACATCACAAATCTGAGAGAAGTTCCACACACATAAATTAAGCAACAAGGAATCATAGATAAGCAAAATTCACTCACTCTCAGCAAAGAACATTCACATGCCACACAGATACACCATAGGCTTGCCCCTAGTGTAATACTCTACTAATCGAGCTGTTCGGTCAAAGATCAAGAGGTCTTTATTTGTTTGTAATGTAGGCTAAGGGACGGGTAGGATATATTGTGATATAGTGACTAACCTCCCTAAGCACTTTTAATACAAACTTCCTTTTGTTTCAATTTCCATGTTTAGCCCAATCGTTCTTCCACATTTTTTTTCATATTTGCCCCCCACTTTTCTTTAGGTGCACTGGCCTTTTTCTCTTTTTTTTCTTTTCTTTCTTGTTTTTTCGTTTGTTTTGTTTCGTTTTCTTCTATCTCTTCTCT